CAGCCCTTTATGGAATTTTTCTAAGCAACAGAACAAAGAAAGTTATAAATCAAGGCTCCCCGCCCCCCGCCCCGCGCGCGCAAATACATTGGTGGGTACATCAGGTAGGTGAGTGACACAAATTAGGGAAATCTGTTCTAGCCTGAGATGCTATCTGATGACATTCTTAGCCTCTGTGTTGGTGGAAGTTAGGGGACTCTTTGTACATTCCAAAAAGACTTACTGAATAGTGACAAGGCTGTTTGGTCCCATGTAGAGGTGGGCAATATGGCTAATGAGAACACCAGAGATGGCCCAAGATGATATTCTAGCTCTCCATAGTCAACTTTATAAAATGCTTGACACAGGTATGGGTGTCCCTCCTCTTCCCCCGAATCTCAGTCACAGATGAAATATATGAGAAAGAAATTACTTAGGGTGAGTTATAGACATCAGTGGTAAATACCATGCGTTGTTCCAGGTCTCACGGGTGACTTCTTTCCATTCAAACTCTACCATGGTTTGTCTGGACTTCATATAGCTGTGTGGTCTGAACTGAATCCTGGTGTTTTAAGGTCGTAGTTGGTGGGAATAAGGTGCTGAGGGCAAGTACAGCTGTGCTACCTTTCTCTTCTGAGTTACCAAAGGCTACCCCCATGTTTTCTGTTAAAAGCCAGAGTTCTGATGGTAACTCACAAGGCTCTGCACTGCCGTCCCCTCCTTCCTGCCAAACCTCATCTCCCTCCTTCTGCTCTTCTCACTTAGTCTGATCCACCTTTATCTCTAGTTCTTTCTCAAGGACATAGAAGCCATCCTTTCTCAGATGGCACCTTTCCCCGAAGCCTGGACTGCATCTGTATCATCAACCCCATCATCTCCTCATCCCTCCTCTGCCTTATTTTCTTTCTTTTCATCATTTCAGATCTTATAACAGCAATTTACTGTTTTCTGCGCACGTCAGAACATAGGCTCTGTAGACTCGAGGCTTTTCTGTTCACTGCGCATGTCAGAACATGGACTCTGTGGACTTGAGTCTTTGCTGTTCACTGCGGAAATCTCCTTTGCACGTAACAGTGCTTGGCAGGTGGTAGACGCTTAAGAATTGTTTGTTGAATTAAGAGGTACATGGAGTAGGGATGCTGTGCCCTGGAGTCCTCAAACCTAGGAGGAGAGAAAGTCTTAGGGGCTGAAGACTTCCTGCAGCCATGGTTTTGCTTCTTTGGCAATAATTGCCCATGTTCTTTCGTAAGCTTCTGTCTGTTCTTTCAAAAGGGCATAAACTGAGTTTTTGTACCATGTGAGGCACAGTAGGACCTAAGAATGCATGAGATATGGCTTCTTTTTTTAAAGACCCTAAAAGCCGAGAAGGAAGGGAAGAAGTATATTAATGAAGATGGAGGTGGCTACAGTAGTTTGGGAGTACAAGGCAAGTGTCCCGAGAAATAAGTCCTGAAGGAACAGAGTCGCCACTGTGACACTGACAATTCACGATAGCACAGGTGTGTGTGTGTGTGTGTGTGTGCCGTGCCCAGCTTTTTGTATTTTTGCTGGGGATCCAAGCCCAGGTTTGCCTCCTCCTTGCAGTAGATTCTGTTGGCATTTCTAAGTTAAATTCATGAGCTGGTTAGACGGCCATCTTGTGGATGACCTTCCTCTTTCCTTCTGTGTTTCAAAATTTGGCTTACTGGAAATGTTTGCACTTGGTCCTTATGCTAAAGAACTTTGTTTTCCTTCATGACAGGAAGGAGGAGGGGAGATTGTGTAGTTGGGGAAACAGAGACCGCCACAGCGATGCCTATCCAAGCAGTCCTTCGAGGACAATAGCTTAGTTTTAGCCTTCATTTCTATTTCAAGGGTGTGTGCTGCCGATGGGTCTGCTGTTACGTTTAGGATCGTGTTTCTATCTTGTAGTTGCTGGTAAAACCTGGCTGTAAATTAGGTACTGTCTTGCAGTGAAGTTGCTCTCGTTGTGTTTGAAGAGTCTTGGTTTATTCCTGGTGGTTTGTTCCACTCATGTCTCATTCTGCACACAATGCATTCAGTTTTAATGAACAAAGCCATGGTTTTAGAAGCCAAGATCTATTGCAAGCTGATAAAGGAAATTCGCCTACATTTCCCCTAGAGTTGGAAGAAGTAACACTGGAATTTTGTGAGTTTACTTTATTTCAGAACTTGGATAAGAGGGGAAAAAAATGGTCATCTGCCAATTCCTAAACTTACGTTAGTGTTTGTTGGACCTCAGTGTACACATTTCTCTGATATGAATGACATGGTAGGAAAAACATGTACTGTTTTTCACTCTGGGTGACTGAGGTACCACACCTGGAATTACAGAATTCGTGGTTGCTAACCTTTGATGGTTTTTAGAAGTACTTTGGGCTTTTAATATTTAACGTGTGCCAATCATTTTAGTTGTGTTTAGTATTCTTAACCATTTCTCCCAAGATAAGAACTAATATCACCCTTAGAATGGGCTAGCCCAGGAGTCCCTACTTCCAAGGGAAAGAAGTCTTATATTTCAAATACAATCTTACATGTTATCCATACATAAACACAATTTAATGTCTTTTTCTTTCTTTGTTTGTTTATTTGTTTGTTTGTTTTGAAGCATGGTCTGTCTTGGTTAGCCCAGGCTGGCCTTGAACTTTTGTTCTTCTGGCTTCCACCTCCCAACTGCCAGGATTACTGGTGTGTGCCACCATACCAATTCAGACTCTTCACATGCTTGATTAGAGTGGCCAGAAAAGATGATTGTGGATGAAAGAGTTTAGTTGAAAGGCTTTGGGGTCTAATCTTCATTCTCCTTTATTTGTCAGATATTAGAAAAGCCTGCATTGCGGAGGCTCATAGCTGTGGATGGTAGTCGTTTGTGGTGGTTCGTCTTGCATGGTTTGCCCCATCCTTTAGAAGACTCAGTGACACAGAGATGATTGGAATGGTCCATTTCTAGGGCCATGGGAAAGTGATTTTAGCAGCACGTTAAGTGCCGAACCCACTGGGGTGTGTTAAGATACGGCATGTAAAACTCTTGAATTGAGTGTTAACCACTTTTAGCCTTCCCTTAATGTAGGGATTTAAAGAAAACCAAATCAAATATTCAAGAGCCCCAGAGATCTCCAGAGAATACCATTTGAAAGCTACTCTTCATGTTTTCTCTAACATTATCTCAGTAGAATGAGGGTATAGATCATTTATATTTATCTCAGAGAAATTGATAAATGTTGGGAAGTTATGAAAATATTTCTCCAGCTAAAGGGCTACATTGCATGAGTGAATTTTCATTTATACACTCACGACAAATAAATATATAAATAAATCTAATTTTAAAAATAGTTTGGCTTCTGGAAGCTTCAGACACTTGAAGATTGCACTCTAAAAAGTGTTATGAATACTTGCCAGCCGTTAAGTGACTGAAGTTGTTACTTAGCTATCTCATAGTGTTCATTTTCCAGTTACCTTGACATTTTCAGAGTGCTTAGTGACTGCTGTTAGGAACTTTTTTTCTTTTTTAAATCTGATACATAGTTCTGAATTAGAAACTTCCTCCATCCACTCCCATGGCAAGGAAGAAGACTGAGGACTTTTATTTTCTCTTCCCAAACAACAACAACCACCACCTCATGATTTTATCTCTTACTGAAGTAACTGTCGTCCTCTGGTGTGGGGGACCCACCCCCACCTTTTTTCCCCAGGGTGCTCTTGAGGAGTGAGGGATAAGAGATTTAGATAGAAATATAGAGGGGAGAGACAGATAGAAACACAGGATAGCCTCGGGAGGGCCTGGATCCTTATCCACCAGCCCCTTCTGTCTCTTCCAAAGGACTATTTATAGAAATGCCAAGAGGTGGAGCAAAAGACCTCCCCTTAGCACAGCCAAGTGCAGACCCTTCCAAACACCTGGTGACTACCCATGAGGTCAACCCATCCCCTTATGCAGCCCTTCTGGGTAAAGCAAGCTCAGATCTCACTAGGAAACCTCTGTGGGCTCTCACACTCTAGTGAGAGACATAGGTTCTGTGTTGACACAGGAGCTGTGGAGAGGCCTTTGTTTGGTTCTGTGCTTTTAGGGGTATGGTTTTAAAAAGCCCTGTAAAGAGAAAACTTTTAGAAAAGCACATTCTTTTGCTGCTTTAGAAAGTTGGTTTTTAAGGGAACCACATTACAGCTCCCCTTGCCTGGCACATGCCCCTCTAATGAGTCTGGGTAATAACTGGAAAAGCTCCTGGTGCTTTCCCATACGCTAGCCCCTATAATGAGAGTCCTTCCTACACTTGTGTCCCTTGTGACCCCAGCCTCTTGCCAGTCAAGGCACACGGAGCTGTTATTGTCCATGCTGCCGCCAGGCATTCCTCTGTGGACCGGCAGATATCTCGGGCCGGCGCATAGCTTCCTATGAAGTTCCACACAGCAAATTTGATATCAAAATTAAATTGCAGGCCAAGTGATACAGCACCTGCTTAGCATCTTCAGGGCTGTGAGTTTCACTTCCAGGGCTCTGTGCTCTCCTCCCCCTCCTTCCCCTCCCCCCACCCCACCTCCCTGTAAAGCGATAGTATCCCCGTCATGACATGATCTCTCATGTCACTTGTGCTAAGTCCTGGAAACAGGCATGGCTTGGCCGTCACTTGTGTTTTTGGGTTTGGAAAAGCTGTTATAATCAGTAGTTCTGTGACAATTACAGCACAGTAATGAAGGCCCTGGGGTAACATTCTGAGTTCACTGCTTCCTTGCCTAGCATACTGAACATGTGTTTTAATTATGCTAACCTTCAACTTCCTGCGAACAGAGTTGCTGACAAGCGTTTACTGCGTAGGGTAAGGGTGGTGGTGCGCTCCGACGATCCACTTACAGTGCATCGATGCGATATTTAGCGCCCTTAATAACCCTTAATCACTTACATCATTATTTCAAGATCCTGTTTTGCTTGGGAAAATATTCCTGGATAAGTTAAGTCAAGTGGGCCCTGGCCATTCTGCTTTCTAATGACTTCTTCTTGCCCTCCCTGCCTGTTCTCTCTGCAGAATGTGACAAGCTGCGGCGTGATGGATGCCGAAGCTCTCAGTACTATTCTCAGGGACCCACCTTCGCAGCCAGCTCCAGCTCATGCGACAATTATCAAGATGAGGATGCAGAAACAGACCAAAAGGTGAGGCTCGCTGCAGCATGGGCATCTGCATTGCGCCCTGTAGCAGAGGAGGGCTGATAGACTCAGAAGGCACCCTTCCTTCCAGCTGAGTCTTGTCCTGAGTTCGTCACGTGGTTTTGACAAAAGTACCCTGACTCCTGTGTGATCTCCTGCAGACGGGGAGATGGGTGGAGAGCCCACCAGCTCTCAATACTGTGTTTGCAATTTATCCTCAAGCAGAAAATTGTTCTGGTTTTTACATAAAAGGGAGGCGAGGCCAGGATCCAAGAAATACACAAAAGCAGTGTTTGCTCTGTATATTTGTACATTTTGAATATCTATTGGTTAGCAAAAGATGTCTTTCGAAAATGGTTTGGTTTTCATATGACCAGGAGCTCGGTCACCTCTCAGAGAGCTCTGCTCTAGTCAGCGATGCCTCAGCAATCTTAAAATGGCCCCAGAAGACTGTTTCTGAGCGGGGGGGGGGGGGGGGGGGGGGGGGGGGAGTTCTGCATAGGCCCCAGTCTGAGGGATTACGGACATGGCATACAGTTCTGGTGAGAGTCCCATCACGGCAGATGTAGTGACAGGAAGAAGGTGCCAGAGAACAGGTCACATCTCATAACAGGATACAAGAGAAGAGTTGGTGGGTTCAACAACAAGCTACCTTAGTTCCCTTCAAGGGCACACCCCGAATGACCTGTGAACCTCCCGGTAGCCTTCCTGTTTGACAATTGCACCCCAAAATTGCCCTTTTAGGACGAGGCTTGCAGGCATGGGCCCTAGAGGCATAAACCATCTATCTATCTGTTCAAGCCCATAGCAAAAAGTAAAAGCCACTGGTTCAAAAGCGGCGTGTGGCGATAGGCCAGGTGTGTAAGGAATGCCTTTACTTGTTTTTGTTCCACTGGCCAGTTCACCTGGTGACTCTGTGCACCTCTGGGTTCCTTCTTCTCATGCTGCCTCTCGCAAGGCACACAAACCACATCGGAGAGTAGACCCCCCCTCCATTCTAAATACACGAGAGAGAGAGAATAAAGTCTGTGGAGAGTTGTATTTATTTTCAGTATACCATTTTCATTTTATTACGTGACGTGGACAGACAGTGGGATTAATTAAAGTAAGATTTGGGGATTGGGTTTGGCTCACTTTTTTGAAGATTTATTTTTATTGTTTTACTTTATATGCGGCTGGAGCATATATAAATATACAACATGCCGATGCCTTAGAGGCCAGATGTCGGATCCCATGGCCTTCTTCCCTACCTGGATACTGGACTTTTTTTTTTTTTTTAATTTTTTTCATTTGTTTATTTTTTTGTATTTCCTAAAGGATATGTTCTCATGCTAGGCTCGTCTTTTTGATAAGGCATACAAAAATGGTTACTTACTATTATATAATGGGACAAACAGTCATTTCAAAATTGATCTGTGCTTGACTATCAATAACTCTTCTTCTTCATTGGCATGAGTAAGGAAAATTAATGAGATCTGAATTGCTAATTAACGTAGTTTATGATGATGAGCTCACAGGGAGTTGGTGACAGACACCGAGAGACCAGACAGTCGGCTACTTACTGCAGTCACCCAGGGAGGAAAGCATGCCCGGGGACAGGGACAGAGGAGGCAGTGGTGGAGGCTCTAGGCTTGGTTCTAAACTGTGTCCTGTGGGATCTGCTGAGGTTAAAGAAAGCAAGTGAGGATGAGTCCGTATTTTCTTCATCCTGATCCTTCGAGACGCTCGTTACAAATTCATCACTGGTTCTCGTGGTTAAAAGAGAGTCTAGCCCATCGGCCCCGCCCTTTCCGCGTCTGCGCGCCTCTCTCCCTGGTTCCTATTTTGTGGCCCATCGTCCTGTCCACTTCTGTGTCTTCCTTCAGCTGTGCTGGTGTTCCTCCCCCTGTCATGGGACCAGCAAAATCGCACCCCCAGTTTGACCCGGGCTTCCTCCTGCTTTGCAGCCTAATTAGCTCCACAGGCCGGAGAGAAACACCAGGGCACGGGGGCTGCACTGCTGACGGGGGACCCTAAGCCAGCTCTAGCGTGCCAACTCATCTGCTTCTTCTGCTGCTCTCTCAAGTTGTAGTCCCGCCGGCTCACGCCTCCAAACCCTGCATGCCCCGTGTCTGGTAGAGCCTCTGGAAAACCAAAGCAATCAGAAGGCCACTTTTCCACAAACCACGTGACTGCCCTGCTTGCACCTGTTCCTGTGTACGCTTGCCCTGTCCTGCCACCACAATGGGTAAACGGTTGCTAGTCCTTTTCTCTCCCGTTCTATCCCAAGTGCCCAGTTTAGAGCCTGGCATGCAGTACGCACTCAACGTCTTCCCCGTGGAATGAATAAGGCCAGCCTCTAGGGAACATCAGATGTGCAGTTTACCCCTCCCTCTTTGGCCTGATGGGTTCTTTCTTGCACCATAGCCATCATTATACGAACACATTGAGTTTTCTTTCATCTTGAAGGAAGCTTCTTTTGACCTTTCATCTCCCTCCAATTCCACCAGATTTTCCTTTCCTCGTTATTTCTCCCAGGAACTGTCTAGACTTACTGTCTCCAGCTGCCTGTCTTTACGGTTTCCTCTGGAGCCCTCCAAACCTCTAGCCCTAGCTCACTACTGAATCTGCCCTCATGCCCAGGGGTCCCTTCCATGGTACCACGCTGGTAGCTCTCAGAGTTCATCTTTTCTTCTCGGCTGCATTTGCCATCATTTGTGAATCTTCTTAGAGTAGTTACTTAGCTTCCACTGCACCCCGCTCCTTCTGGGTTCCCTTGTCTCTTATTTGTATGACTTCCTAGTCATGGATACCCCTTTTCTTCCATCTGTCTAAATCAACACCGTAGGCTCAGATCATGTGCCTGTTCTTCCCTGTAACAGATTCATGCCTTGGGGGAATATCAGTGAATCCCCCTAGTTCTAAATCCCAATCATGGAGGTTTTCTAAATTTCAGTTTTGTTTTGTTTTGTTTTAAGGCAGACTCTCACATTGTAGACCAGGTTGACCTGGAACTCATAATGTATCTGAATCCATGATGATCCTACTGCTTTAGTCTCTAAGTACTGATTACAGGTGTGGGCTACCTTGCCCAGCTTTAAATACCAATTTCTTGCCTGAACTTAAACATTTATCTGTTGACTGCCCATCTTCCCTTACCACAGATTTATTTGTCCAAGTCCAAGTCTGTGATTCTCAGAACCCTCTTAAAAACACAGCAAAAGAAACCAAGTCACCATAGCTTTCTCCATCTCAGTGAACCCACTCCATCCCACCTGCTGTTTCAACCAGAGACATGAGGCACGTTTCGTTATTTTGTCTACCACTGCCAGAAATTCCTGCTTGATTACTAACTTTTAAACTGCCTTTAAAAAATCTCAAATGTGGGCATCCTGCAATGGTCAGGATGTGTGTCGATGAGAGTAGGTATAAAGCAGGTTAGATGTGAGGTGGTGAGGACCAGAACAGGTTTGAGGTGGCAGCTCTGTGTGTACTGAGTTGACTCAGAGTGGGAACAGGAAGAGTAGAGAGAGAGAGAGTCAAGGAGTTTGACTTGTGTGTGGATAGTAAGAAGTCAATCAAATTTGATTTTATAATTTAGGTGATATATCACATCTGACCCAGAAGAGAGGGAATGTTTTTACAGGCCTGTCTCATGGAGAGTGGGCAGGGTGGTCTCCAGTGCTTGAAACTGTTCCAGAGCAAAAGGAAGAGCTCAGTTCTTTTTCTAAAGATTTATTTATTTTTAATGCATGGGTAGGAGTATTTTGCCTGCATGTATGTGTGTGTGCAGTGTCTACAGAGGCCAAAAGAGGGCGTTAGATCCTCTAGAACTGGAGTTTCCACTCACTGTGAGCTGCTTTGTAGGTTTTGGGAACTAAACCCAGGTCCTCTGCAAGAGCGGTAAGGGCTCTTAACGGCTGAGCCATCTCTCCAGCTTCAAGTTCAGTTCTTTCTTAACCGATTAGTTTAACACAAAGCCAACACTTGCCAGAGACTTTAGGAGGCAGATCAACCAGGAAGTCTGACTCATGAAGATTGGCTTTATCAATCATAAATCATTAGGAAACATGACCAGAAGCTCATTAAAAGACAAGACTCCTGCCGGGCGGTGGTGGCACATGCCTTTAATCCCAGCACTTGGGAGGCAGAGCCAGACGGATCTCTGTGAGTTCGAGGCCAGCCTGGTCTCCAAAGCGAGTTCCAGGAAAGGCGCAAAGCTACACAGAGAAACCCTGTCTCGAAAAACCAAAAAAAAAAAAAAAAAAGACAAGACTCCATAGTTCACTGCGGTTTATTTTAATGGCAATGTATGGACTTAGATAAAGTATGGCAATTGACTGTTAATATTGAATATATTAATAAATCTTGAGATAAAAATCATGTAATTAAAATAATAGATACTGGCAAGATATTTAATATGATTTAACATCCATTGCCTATTTTTTTAAAAACCCACAAAAATTGGAGTGAGGGCCAGGGAGATGGTCGTGCCAACCTGATGGCCTGAATTCTATCCCCCAAACCCAAGATATAAGGAGGGAGAGACCCCAATCCTAGATTTTTTCCTCTGGCCTCGCCATGCATACAGTGGTCTATGTGCTGTTCCCATTCGAAGGGGACATAAGAGAAGGATGGTCACTGCCGTGGTCACTACTTAACACTGACTGGAATGAACTGTCCAGCATTATTAGAAAATTGTGCTGGACTGGCCACTCAGCGATTGAGTGCTTTCTCCCTGGGAGATCTTGAGTGCAGTCCCCAGAGCTGCTAAACAAACAAGTAAATACTAAATGTCGCATCCCATATCAGAAGCACACAATTTGGAAAGTTTGAGGTTGTAATACTACCCTTGGCGCATCTTGAGTATGTGTACTTGTTAAATTTAGAAAAAAATGCAAATTTTAAACTATTAGAAATCATGCAGTTCAATGATTTAGGAAGGTATCAAGTTGATATACAGAAATCAGTAGCTTTCATATTTATAGTCAGGGTAAGAGATGAAATTTTAAAATTACCATATCAGG